AATTCAATAACGATAATATGAGGCACTGATATTACGTATATCATGCGCATATTGATTTTGAGAAAATTTTGCGCAGATAGATTATTTTGAAAGTATCTGTATCGGGCGCACAGATTAATCTTTAAATGAATTTTAAACACTGATTCATACACGTTTTGAATGGCTCCCTTTTGAAATATTCACCAATTTGGATTTAGAATTATTTATACCTAGTTGGATGGACCATTACATTTATGAGTTCATGAAGAAAATAAAATGACAATTACTAAGATTTTTTTTGTTTTCTAACAATCGAATTTTCAGAAATAGATTCGTTTCTCCCAGCTACTATCGCTATGGAATAACTAAAAATACTCAATTGTGATGAAATCTGCACAAGTCTACATAATTATACATGTTACGTAGATATATGTAATTTAACTAAGAAAAATTTTCGATATTTAAATTATGAATACATGTACAGAGGCGTCAACTAAAATTAGGACAGTCATTAAAAATTTAAATAATGAATAAATATAGTATAAATTCTACAATATAGTGAAAATTTGGAACATTTCAAACACAAATTATTATTTTGAACCTTTGAAATATCATTTTCTAAAACTTTCATTCGTGAACTTTGAATGAAAGATTAGCCACAATGCAAAATTTTAACACAATAAATGTTTATAATTAAAAATGTTCATCAGGTTCCATTCTACATATTTGCTTTCATAAGTTTGGAGCATTAATCCGTGAATTATTGTGCAAAACGTAAAATATTTTGAACTTGTGATGAGATGGATTTACAACTATGAAAACCCATCTTCATTTTCATTGGTGCGCATTTTTAGCTAATGGGAATAAAGATGGGTTTTCATAATAATAAATTTAACTTACCCTTGTACTGTATATGTAATTCATCTTAAAAGAATTTTACATTTCACAAATAGCTCATAGATTAATACTCAAAACTTTATATGTAGAATGGAACCTGATAAACATTTATTGTGTTAAAATTTGGCATTGAGGCAAATCTTTCATTCAAAGTTCACGAATGAAAGTTTTAGAAAATGATATTCAAAGGTTCAAAATAATCATTTGTGTTTGAAATGTTCCAAATTTTCACTATATTGTAGAATTTAATATCATATTTATTCATTATTTAAATTTTCACTGACTGTCCTAATTTTAGTTGACCTCTCTGTACATGTAATTTGCGTGAAATTTACCCTAAAAAAGTAATGCACGGTCCAAATTTATTATAGCTAAATTTTTTATAATAATTATTTTAAATTTTATATCTTTGAAAAAATGGACAATATTCATTCACTTTAACTGTTTTAATTATAAAATCAATAAGAAATTTTTATATATATTTTACTATCGATATCAATATTAATGTATTACGTACGTATTTTGGACTTGCCAGTTTAGCTACGTAATTCAAATAAATCTAATCAGGAAATTTGCGGATCTCTTCCATACATGAGTACAGAGATACTAAATGTAAAGCCATAAACTAAAACTGAAGATATTTATAGTTTTGGGATGAGGTTGCAATATGTAAACGACCATTTGGTGAGCAGAATTATGATGTATATCTTGTATAAGAGTACGTCCTGAGATAATAAATGATGTCTCGGGTGGTTCAAATTTATTATTCAAAAAACTTGAAAAAGGCCAACTGCTGGGAAACTTCTAGACTTTATCTACTTTACATTTTCAGTACTACAGCTCTTTAAACACATAAAAAAATTAGGGAGTGTCTTAATTAGAAAGCGTTTTTACAAACAGAAGGTCCACTCAAATGCAGTCAAAATCTTTATCACAAAATTTACTTCGATTCTAAAGGATACTGGTACTTTTATTTCTAAATATAAATAACATTGACATTTCACATTATTAAAAATTATATCGAATATTTAGGGTTAGAAATATCAGTTTGTATGTTCCAGACGAAGGCAAAATTATATTTACTTTTCATTATCTTTGATTTCGTATGGTATATTAAAAAAAATTATGAAGAAAACCAGTCGTGATTAATCACTTACAATATAATAAGACAATATCAAAGAAGAACGCAGTTCTTTGTTAGAAGAAAATGGTAACTACTTTTACTTGATGCTTAAATTTTATAGTCTAAAAAATTACGATTAGAAATTATAAGCTTGAATGTAATCAATCGTTGAATCGACATTACCTGTGCAATATTTTTAATATGAAGATTCAATAAAAATCTTCCTTCATTTCAGAAATATCGCTGATTCTTTGAACTCCAATAAATCATATCTTATTTATTTGAATATTAATACAGTATTACTTATTTTAGTCTAAATTTACTTATCGTTATGTGTGTTTAAAAGACACGCTAGTACTAGTAGCAAATCCAAAATTTAGATCCGTGAATACCATCATAAAAAAGGTAAAAAAGGCCTTTTATATTTATCTCTTAGAGATAGTTAAAAAGTTAGTAGACAAGTCGTGGCAGAAAAATTCCTCGATCACGTGAGCGTTATGTGGCGTAATCCAATAAGAATGAGCAATTTTTTATCAACCCAGCAAAACAAATCCGACACAAGAAATGAAAAAAGTGAATAATGTAAAAAATACGGAAAAAAATGTCAAAATCTGGCTTGAAGAATTAATAAAAAAATGTCGGGAAGACAATTTTACATATAATCTTGTCCTCCACTCTAATCCATACCCTAACCCGAACGATAAAATATCCTTTAACGTTAATTTTCTGTGATCTCGTGATCTAGGGATTTCTAGTCTACTACGTATTAAAAAGTTATTGAAATTATCACCATATGATCCGAATAATAGACAGTGAGATACTTCTATAGTTTTATGAGAGTTTGTTAGAGAAGTGTCTTTAATCAGGTGATTTCGATTTACTATAACCTATCTGACATAGTATAAAATACATGGGTTATAAATTACAGGGATTAACATGATTTTGGCTAGATATTTCCTATTATCGTTATAGTTGTATCACAGCCTAATGGTTTAACAGGATCCGAGTATATTAAACATGAATGAAACTTTTTCTACCTGAGAGAATTAAATTAGTTCTAATAACCAATCCACGGCGAAGAAAAGTGTCAGATCATATGATATTTGTATATGTCCGGGCTGATCAAAAATTTTCGTATCTATTTGTTTGTGCCACCAGCAGCACATGATCTGACACATTTTTCGCTGTGGCTATTTAACGTTGAGGTATTTGGTCCACTATGTAATCAAAAAAAACTATTTATTCTCCTGATAATATACATTCATAAACTGATCCTTTTGAAGATAGGAATTTTCACCCAAAAGTTATTTGACACATACTGTACACAAGTGTTCAAAAAATATTATAGATTCTTCTGTGGCTATTGAAGCGAATTAATGGTCGCGATTACTTTGACAGGATTTGGAATTGGCAGGATTAAGCCGAAGATGTCTGCGTTGGCTGACGAACAGAAGTGTTGGTAAAGTTTTGGTAGCGGCAGATCCTTATTGGTTTCATTTCACTATGCATATCAGAACGTTGGCTCCAATAACTTGTGGTTGACATTATATTATTGGTTTCCATTTATTATTTGGTTCGAAATAAATATGTGCAAGTACATTCAAAGTACTATTAATAACATTTACTAATGTTGAAAACTAGAGATCTCATACCTTCTTCAATGACTTCAACTAATTAGTAAGATACAATGTAAATTTAGACGACAATTTTGTGGATGAATTACAATCCGCAATTCAAGAATCCAAAGTATTTTTTTCTCGTGTCTCCTTGTATCACAAGCAGCTGCAGTGCATACAAAACGACTTCTTTTCGTTATCATTCTTTCGCTAGTGTGTTTTCGTTATTACGGAGATTCAGATTTATTCCAACTCCGATTGTTCTGCTAGTTTGATAATAGTAAATTCAATAATACTGAGACGTGTTATGAACGTACGCAGTGTATTTTTGATGGGAGACTCTGCGTATTTCTTTAATTAATATTGGTTTTGCAAGTATTTGGCCGGATATCGGGGGGGGGGATATTTTCAATGAAATCAAACGCGTGGTCCGTATTGCGTTAATTTGTTGGGTGTGGCGTGTGTATACTAAAAATTATCGAATAATATTAACGCTGAATAATTATTATGAAATTCGTGACCCAACTTTAATTTTTTTGTGTATTTATGACACATTTGTATTTACTGAGCCACGGTCAATTGATTTTTCCACTTTTGGATCACAAATATTATTGCATGAGGAGTTTGGGTTCCGAGTACGTACGTTCATGTATTGATTGTTGAAAATTGCGGTTACACAGTGAATCTCGTTAAACGGTATATATATATCGATATATATGATTTTTTCCAAATTACTCAAAGCCAGCTTAATGCAGCTCCGTATAACGAGATTCATTGTGCATTCGGTTACGTATCGGTATTTATTTAACTTGAAAAACAAATTAATAACGATGGTAATCTCAGCAAAAATTATTACAACTTTTCGGCCGAAATTTAATCAATCCTTTATTGGTGTATATCATTATGTCAATAAGAACATATGCCATGCTTCTAAATTAGAAGAGGATAAAGGAGATTCTTTGGTCATTTCATTTTAAAAGAAAACCATGGTTAGTAAAACGGCCATAGTATTTATTTATTATACGTATTTAGCCTAATTAGCGTTTTGCGATGTTCATTCAAGTTGGACAAGAAAATCTATTGTATACGTACATATCTAAACATGCATTATCGTATATTTAGATGGTGCTCATTCAGAATGACAAAGATCTACCCACAACTAATTAATTAATTAATTGATCAATAACGCGCGGTGCACGTTTTATTGGATGGTTTTTATATTCCATGGAGTGCTGCGACTACCGTCATTATTAATTGGACATTGTTATATATAAAGAGGTGGCAACAGTCTACGACTCATTTTTCTCTGTGTCAAAGGTTTAAAACAAAACAAAAGCAAATCAATAATTATTATAGTAATTGCAAACAAATTATTTTTTGTCGTAATGGCACAAAAAACTGATTTCCTTGAAAGTAACGATACCTCCTCCAATAATAACTCACAGTTTGAGATTACATTAATTCTCACAACAGCCTCTGAAACGCAAGATTTCGTAACTAACAAAAATAAGGAAATAGTTGACGAAGCAACGACAGAAGAACAAAACGAAACAGACAGTGAAACGGAATCAGAACAAAATGAAACGGATACTGAAATGGAATCAGAAGAACTAAACGAAACAGACATTGAAATGGAAACAGAAACAAAAAACCAACAAGTAGATTCGCTTTGCTTTACCAACTTTTTCAATCAATTACGAGTAGAAGAACAATTTGTCGCTTCTTTATTACTCAAACAACAACAAAAGAAAAAGCCTAATTCAACTGCTATTCCACAGGTTTGGAATTCTATTCTTGGTGACGATGAAGATATCGAACGTCGTGTTATTTATTCGGAACCAGAGCCAATTGTAAAAGATTGTCAGCATGACGTGACGATGGGATATGGATTTGAAAAGTCACATTTCTCTGTTGATTCTTTTTCGAGTGACGAAGAAAACAACGACGATAATTATTTTAATGACAGTAATATGAATACGAGAAAAGAAAAAGATTATGTGATCGATACAATTTACTATGTGGACACATTGTTGACTGATTATTATGACTCGGATGAAGAGTCAGAAACGTCAACGTTGTTTAATGAAGAACCAATGGTTAGTCGACAAACGTCACTTTCAGCTGTTGTTATGACTTTGGTTGATAAAATATAAAATGAGATCATTGTATGTAAATAATAGCGATAGTCTTACAGTATTGAATAGCGGATTTATGAGGGGGATAATTATTTGGAAAAAAATTACGTCATAATAATATTTTGTTACGTAGTCAGTTCAGTCTAACTTTATTTTACACTTTTTGGTGCATGTGAAAATGAGGTACGACATTAATAAAGTCATTTGAGTCAACTTTCTACCGTATTACATGTAAATGCGAAATTTTCGGATAAAATTACCGCGTGAATTTAACCAGAATGTGACAAGCCGCAAGCTTATCTATTTATATTTTTGTATCAAGTGTTTTTGTACATGTATAACATTTAGCACATCCTAAGTGTACGTACGTATTTTGAATTTGTAATACTTATATTGTTTATAAATAAATTCTTATAACAAGAAAATACGAATATAGATTATGGACGAAATACATTTATTTTTATTGTGAAAGTATTATATATATGTTTGATTTTAAACAATTTATATAAACCACATTTGATTTGTTTATAGAATATAATTGTATATTTATTCTACAAAATATTTTTTTAATTCAAACTACTACGTAAAGTGAAATTATTTTTTGATATAACTTCTAAAAAAATTTGTTTATTTTAAAATTTAAAAATCTATATACATGTATGTATTACTTTTTTCAATAATGAAATGTAATAAATTTTTTACAATGAATTTTTTAATATTTCAATAATATGCTAAAAACAAAATGTTTATTATATATAATTTTTGTATTATATGAGGATATTACATTTATAATATAACTTGCATGTATAAATTAACTTGTATGTATAAATTGGTTTAGATATTATATAATATTAATATGCACTTTTATAAATTGGAGATTTTTTAATTTGTACTAAATTATATTTTCTTTTGATATGTTAAAAAAAATAGATTTGTAGTAAACTCATTTAATATAATTTTTAAAAAGAGAAAGAAAAACTATAATCGAAGATGCACTGTTTAATTCTTCAAAATTGTAAAATTTAATAGCATTGAAAATTTAAATTTTAAGTTTAAATTTTCCATCCAATATTAAACTATAAAGGATTTGTATCAAATACCTTTTGATAAGCACTATAATTTAACGTATTTTTTTGTACAGTATAATATTAATTTAATGAGCAGTTATAATTTTTCGGAGGTCACTTTTAATAGAAATGATCCAATTTTCAGCACTGGCTGTATCACATGAACAATTTCTGATTGGATTGGTTTTCTCATGCTTTCACATAGAAACATGATTTATGTTATGTATATTCTAAATACAACATTTTCATTGGCTTCATGTGGCTCAAACAAATTTCAGCATTAGATTATTTGTATTATTTGTATTATTAAGATAATGTATTCTTAGAGTACTGAATTTTATATAAAAACAAAAAAAAATTGTTCTATATAGCAGAAAAATGAAATAATTTTTACAGTAGCAGAACTTAGTATATGTATTATCGAATTATATATTGTAAAAGTAAATATTGTAATAAATATTTTTCAATTCATGCAGCATCTAAATTAATATTTGATGAATTATTAATAAATTTCAAGAGTTTATGAATGTTTCTATATATTAAAATTTCTAATTTATTTACTTTTAAATTGCAAGCTGCTATGAATATAATTGTTTTCAACTTACTCAATACGTTAAAGGAAAGATTGCTCTTTATTTATAAAAATTTATATAACTTTACTATTAATGTTATGTTATATTAAATTTAAATTATTTACATGCAGGAACTCTTAAATTGACAATATGTTTCATGTTAAAAATTCAATCCACTTCTTAACTAAGAAGTAAAGCCAAAATTAACCGGTAATATTATCGAAAAGAACCTTCTTGATAATATTACCGGTCAAATTTTGGATTTACTTCTTAGTTAAGAAGTTGATAGAATTTTTAACATGAAACATATTGTCGACCATATAAAAGTAAAAGAAATTATTAAATAATAAAATCTTTTCGTTTGATTCATATAAATCATTTATTATATTATACGGCAGATCTCCATAAGAGAATCTTCTTTTAAGGAACAACTTCTACCAAAGTAGAACAAAGATGTACTTCTATAATAAAAATTATCTCTGTAATAGAGTACTTCTATAAAAAAAATATAAATTGACTGCTCAAACTTGAGTAAAGTATGTTTAACGTTAATAGCTTTATTGTTAAGGTACTTCCACGATAGCGATAGTGATAGACTACATGTACATGTACTACACAAGTTTTTGATCATCTGATCTTGGTAGTACATGTACCAGTACTTAAAACGGGCAAAAAGTGAAACATTAGGCGTTAGCGTTAGTTCATTTTTTTAAAAGTAAATCCCACATGCAAAATAACAATAACGATAACAATAACAATAATAATAACGATAATCCTAAACAATGACCAAGAGTAATAATCGTATTGTTTTGAATGTTGGTGGTGTTAAGGTAAACGTCAATGTTTATTCTAATGTTATTAAAATCAGAAAATAATTGACTTTCATATTTTTAAATCAAGTATGAAACATTCAAAAGTACACTTACAGCCTATCCAAATACATTACTTGGAACAATGTTTCAAGATAGAAATAGAGAATTACAGCAAGCAACTAATAATAATGAATACTTTTTCGATCGAAATGGCCGAGCTTTTCATTATATAATGGAATTCTATCGAAATGGTGTACTTTATTGGCCTGATATTTATTCACCAAGCGGCGTTTCACACAAAGAAATTGAACGAGAGTTAGATTTCTTTCAAATTCCAATCACACCTCAAACCATTGAGGTCAAAGAGTTTAGCGTTGATGATGCCGCAAAATCACTGGACGAATTTACGGAAATGTTTGTTGCTGTTATCAAGGAAATGGAACGACATTTTAGACGTCGAATCACCATTTTGTTCCCGGTTTTTAACTTTTCGTTATTTTCTGTAACGCCTGATTTGAATTCCGTGACACCAATTATAAAACCTTATCGGCAAATTGGATCACCGATTTCTGAGCATTTTGGTGAAATGATTGGAAAACATTTGATGATAATTCGGCCCGGTCTCACTTATAAAGTTACGTCGACCACTGTCAGTGACGAGTATGTTTACAAGTGGGAATTGAGAATTCCGTTGGCGTTTGATGTTAAAAAGGTCATTGAGAAATCATCGTTATCTTCAATTTCTAATCAAAGATGAAGACTTCTGCATGAATTCATATAGCATTTCTGTAGTTTCTTGAGTATGTCTGTTTTCATTGATTAGCATTTATTATCATTTACTAATGAACCTGTCAGTAATTCAATGAGACCATATAAAATTCAATCAATGTGACTTCGTTTTGGGATTTAGTATCAAATAGACGAATATCGATCGAATGCCGTCGTATTGGACAAAAATAAATGTTGCCTAATATGAAAGAACTGTATTTCTAGTTCCCGCAACAAGGATCCTTTTTTCCTAAACATTATCATGATTATGGAAATTTTTAACGAGATTTTAACGTCAAACTATTTACATTCTGACAGATGTTTTTTTTTTAATATACGTCTTCAATATTATTGTTAATGATCTCGGAGAAAGTTTATTGGTTGATAATAAATAAAATAATATATAACGCTAACAAATCTTGAATACGTAGTTAACAAGTTCTACGCCACGCGGCAAAATTTGGTTTTGCAGATCATATGGCATAACGATAATACTAAATTTGGTCAATTACATAATTTATAATGCAATCTTTTTTCAACTATGTACATAATATCGATATAATTCCAGTTTGATAAAATATTTTAATCCCGCTCATAATAATTTGTGTTTTTTTATAGCATATTCTGCTGTATTGTCAGTTAACTGGTGACGTACAGTTTCTAAAGATATAGAATTAAAAACTAAAAGAAGATTTTTTTAATGATTGTAATGTATATTCACGATGATTTTGTGTATATTTCTTAGTTGTGTAATTAAATTCTGGATAAAATTTGGCTACAAATTGGTATAAGCTAATATAAGTATTCGAAGAGTTATAGAATTTATGATAAAATTTAATAAATGCAAAAATAAAAATAATTTAATTATCACTAAGGTAACTTTTAATTCTTAATAAATACTATAATTTGTACTTATAAATAAAGTTATAGCTCATATCTAGAGCTACAAATCAGTATATAATACTATATGCTGATTTCAATTCAAACTCGAACCAGACTCGTACAATGGATAAATTTCTTGAACTCAAGCCAAAGTCCAGTTCAAGTTTAGTTCAAATTTTGAATCAGACTCAAACCCAAAAAAAGTCCAGTTTATAGAAACACTATGACATCTAATTTTTCTCACTTTTACGTTTAATTTCAATATCTCTACAGGATAACGATAAGAATTTTATTACGTTCATCAAGAATTTTTTAGTGTAACTTGCGGCAAACCAATCATAAATTCAATATCACGTTTTTTCCACTTTTTTTTAAATGAATAATTTAGATTTCTCATTTTTTTCATTATAATTGATGTAATTATTGTAGCATATGACTAGGAATTGACGCTAAACGACGTTTTCGGGATGGAGATATCGGTGAATTCTAATTCGCTTATATTGTGCTAACGCCAATTTTTTTTTTGATGCTAACAAATTAAAAAATTACATTTTTTATCCCTTTAATGTGATTCTATAACGATAACGCGCGCATATTTTGCTTTGAACTGTATAATAATTTTAACGCCAGATCCCACCTTTTGTCGTGGATGTAATGCTTTATAATTGTTACAAAACCTCGTTTTGTAAGATATTCTTTAATATTATTATTTTCTCTTAATTCAATAAAAATGAAATCTTTCCTCTTTTATTTGATTCTTCCGACACGTGTTCAATAGGACGTTTGCTGGTCGTTTTATGCTCTTTGAAATCTAACACTAGTGTTTGTTAAGAAAAATAGTATACAATATTTAAATGTCGAGACTCTGTCGTTGTTGACGAAAAAACTCACGGAAATATACATGCATATTCAAAGTAGCGGTATGATAAATAAATTTTACCTTCATTTGTTTCGTTTTGAATATCTATATCATATTCAGTAGTCATATATTCTAGAGTTGTATGCAAATAAATATATTTTAATATATTTTAATAGAAGTAATATAGCAAGCGATTTTACCTTCGCTTGGAACAAACAAACTAACACTTGTCAACCCTAAACATTCGATGCAATTTTTAATTAATATGAAATGTTAATATGATTTATATTTCAAAATAAAAGTACCTGTGTCAGTTGGAATTGAAATTAGTTTTGTGGTAAACATTCGACTGGTGTAAACTGCGTTTGAGTGGATTTGTTTTTTGTTCGTATTCGTAGGAATACCCTTGTTTAATTTCATCTCCTTATAAAGTTTATCTAATTTCTGTTTTTCTAGTTTGAGACACTCTTCAATTTCTTCACGTGTTTTAGAGCTGTAGTACTGAAAATGCAAATTATTCGGTTTCCACTCCTTACTGTCATTATTCCCGCGCAGTTGGTCTGTTTTCTGGAATAGGATCCAAATATTTTTCAATAATAAACTTGAATAATTTAGGAACATTATTTGGTATCGTAGGTCGTACTCCGTTATAGATGTCGCATACGAGATCTATACCATGACTCCGCTCACCGAATGGTCGTTCAACTGTGGCAACCAACCTCGTACGTTATCATCCCGAAACTATAAATATCTGCAGCTTTAGTGTATGGTTTTCCTCTGGACTCATATAAGGAAGTACTCCGTAAATTCTTTGATCATATTTTTCTATATCTGCTGGCTTTGCAAGTCCAAAATCAGCAATTTGAGCCTTATATTGTATTAATATATTTCTAGGGTGAAAGTCACGATGCACAAATTCCTCTTCGTGAATTTTTATTCAACCCTTTAATGATCTCAATTAAATAATCTAATTTCTTTTTCAAAGTCAGTGCTTCATAGTTAGAATTCATATATTTGCTTAGATCGTCATCTTTTGTATAAGTCAGTTAATATATTTTTTATTTATTCTTTTTATAAGTATAATAATAGTTCAGTTATAATATTGTGTTTAAAATGAGCCAGCATTTTCAGACTTTAAAGTGTTAGCAAAAGAAAAGATCTTTACAGTAATTCTTTACAAGATAAATTTGACTATTCAGAAAAAGAGATGTAATTTCAAGTCATTGTACAAATTTATTTTAGAACAATTAAGAGTAATAAATGCTTAGAGTGACATGAAATATTTTTCAAAAAATGGAAAGCAAAGAATCTGCTAAACATGTATTGCATGTATTTATCGCTATGCATTCTGTCAAGCTGGATAAATGGTAACTTTGGACAGGAGTACATGTATTATTATATACGTATATGTACAAAAAAATAAGTGCACACACATAGAATGACTGATAATGCAGACTTATTAATTTGTAATTTTAATTCTGTCTTTTATAAAGATTCCAATAAAGCAGACGTATGATTAGCATATATTTATAGTAAAGAAGAGGCATTATTACTTGACTTTCATTTGTGTTAAAAGAAGAGTAAAATCAATTTCTATGCATGAAAAGTGAGCCAGAACACCTTTTATCATTATTGTTATAACTTCTATTTATGTGTGTGTAGATAATAATTTTAATACATTAAATAAATATTAATATAGTAATTTGATGCAAAACATACATATTTAAATGAGTTTCCATGAAATATATAATTACTAAATTATATGCATAAAATGAATACATTTGATTTTTATAATGATGTCTTGCATACCCATATAACAAAAATCAAGGCAATAACAATAATAATAAGATACTATATACACTAAATTTTAACTTTATATTAAAATATAAAGATAAAAATGTATGTGTAAATTCAAAGAAGTTAGAAGTCGCTTTTGGTCATTATGCTTTAACTCAAAATACAATTAATACTGATTCAATGATTACCGTCAGGATAAGATCATGTTTTTAATAAATTAAAAAGTTAAATATCAATTTATAAAGTAGTTAAATATGATAATATTAATTAATATCAATATCAAAATGTAGATATCAGTATACTGAACTTGGTAATTGACTAACATTAATCTAGCATAACAATAAAATTAACTTATATGATTCAATATCGATATACAGTCAGACCTCCCTAAGTATAACCCCTTCTAAGTGCAATTATTCTCTAAATACATATGCTAATTTGGTTCCAACTTATAAGATATATATGTATTTTTACCTCTATGAATGCAATATCTCTCTAAGTGCAGTATTTGTATGATCTCGACGAGTTGTACTTAGGGAGATCTGACTGTAATTGATGTAATTATTATTTGAGGAAGCTTAAAAAAGAAAATCATAGTAAACAATGGTAGTTTCAAATTGTAGCATATGATTGCTTTCACTTGTCTTATTTTAGGGTGAAGGAGAAATCTTCAAATGACATTTTCAGGTTGGGGAAGGGTGAATATACTTTTATCAACATTCTCATTATTTTTTTGTGTCAGCGATCTATGTACTACATGTATTTTTTCCCAAAAAGTCATGATCTGGAAAATTTGAGATTCAATATCTATGATGATAATGGACTGTGTTTTTTGAAAAAATAAATATTTATCTTCATTTGGAACATATAAACTCACACTTGACATTCCTAGACATTTGATATGAATTTTAATTAATGTGAAACTTCAATTTAATTTATATTTAGAAACAAAAAGTACCCATATCAGTTGGAATGTATATTGATTTTGAAGTAAACATTCGACTGGTGTAAACTGTATTTGAGTGGATTTCTTGATTTTTATTTGTATTCGTAGGAATGATTTTTGCAATTCTATTTCCTCATCAATTTCTGCTTTTCTAGTTTAACACACTCAATAATTTCTTCACATGTCTTGAAGATTCTAAAAAGTCATAATACTAAAAATGCAAAGTAAATATTGAAATTGATATTAATATTAATATAAGTGATAGAATCGATAAAGATATCAAGTTCCTTAGCAGTTGGTCTGTTTTCTGGAATAGAATCCCAACATTTTGCACTGTCCAGGTATATTATTATATGGTATCATAGGTACTTTATTATATGTGGATATCGTATATAAGATATATTATGACTCCGTTCACCAAATGATCATTCTCTTATTACAATCTCGTACATAACCATCCTATTTCAAAGTCATAAATATTTGCAACTTGAGTGTATGATTTTTC